AGGCGGCGCAGGGCCAGCTCGGGCAGGGCGGCCAGCATCGCTCCCGCCCCCCTCCGCTGAAAAAACGCGTCCTGGGCAAGCCTATCTGCCAGTCTTGTCAAGTTATAAAATTTAGGAAATACGGTTTGAAACGTTTTGAGGGATCTTGGCGCTTCCGCTTCTTTCCATTTGTTAGTGTTTCCTTAATGTTGCCAGTTGTTTGCGGAGGCAGGACGTTTCAATGCAGCAACCGGTTATGGCCTCCTTAATTTTGATTTCCCACTCCACAAGAATGAAAAGTATAAAATGGATACATCCCGGATAACCAGTTGCTTTTGGGAATGCTGGGCTTATTTTTGTATATGTACAAGTTAGATCTTAGTACTGAGAGGCTCCCTAGATGAATTAACGGCGTTTTATGGGAACAGGAAAACTCGATTCACACAGTAAAGGCATATTCTTCACTTTTTTCCCTGTTGCATAAAGTTTTTTGCAAAACAAAAGCTCAACTTTGCTGAGGAAGTAATAGATGGAACAATTCACTGTAAACCAGGAGCAGCAGAAGTTCTGGTGCAAGACATCTACTCAATGCTAACAAATAGACGGTGAGTTGAGGATGCTTATGTATGGGTTCTTCAGTGTTAGTATTACTCGGTGTCTTTCAACAGCTTTTGCCTCTTATCTTGATTTGACAAGAAATAGCGCAGCTGTGAATGTAAACAGGCTTTAAAGTGAAATTTGACTCTAGAAGAAAAGTTTGAGATGCTTTAACCTGCTGGATTGAGCTCACAGGCATGGATAGTGAGTGAATCAAGCTATTTAAGATAATTCTGTTTTTTTGTTCCCCATTTACAAAATGAAAGTAACATTTGTACACTACAGAACTGTAAAAAAATATTTAGCCAATGCTTTTTTTTTTTTTGCTATTTATTATTATTTACAGTAATTAATTCCTAAATGCTTTTTTTCCCTCCCTCCCACCAGACTTAGAAGCATTCAAGACAGGGAGGTTGATTTTACAGACTACTATTATCAGGCACAGTTACCCATGGCTGCCAGATCAACAGCTTCAAAGGCTATCAAGAATAACATTAAGCTAACTGAAATAATGACTGAGCCCAGTGTGAACATAAATAGACAGAAGGCTAATGCAATCATTAATATGCACATGAGAATGAGAATGCAAGAGAGGGAAGAGGATCCACGTGAGTATTTGTGTTGCTGGTTTTTGTTTTCCTCAAAAGGAAAAGAGCAAGACCAGAGCTTGTGACAGTCTTATTTTCCCACAGTTACTGTTCTAGTTTCAGGCTGATAACTGAAGATAGAAAGCAGCATGCCTAGTTTGGTTATCTTTGTCATGGTTGCCTAAACACGACTGGGAGATATTGTTAGAAGTGTATGTGTGAGTAACACGAATGGGGATTGGATAATGAGTACAATTTCCTGAAATTTTCCTAGTGTTTAATGATGTTTGAGCTCTGCTGTGTGGCTACGTTCAGCTTTCCTTGTGTGGTATATTCATGTTACGTTGTTGGAGATGAAGTTGAATTTAATAAACAGCACTTTCACCAGTAGCACATTATTGACAAATACTCCCCTCTGCTACTCCTTTTTACTAAATGAAGCTGCTGAGTTCCTGAGATAGGTTTGACTGAAACATGCTTTCTGTAGCAGAGGTGTTACAACTTGCCACTGATTTTCTTTGAAGAGATAAATGGTTTTGAGAACAAGGGGAGAGGTGTGGAGATCGTATGGCTTGCCTTTAACAAAGACCCACAGTATCCTTCTAGTCAATTGTAGGGCTGTACAGTGGGTAAGTGGATGATAAGGAGGATGGAAATTGGCTGAATTGTCAGATCTATGGGTTCTAATCACAGGGTTATGTATAAAGTCCAGCTGGTGGCCAGTTACTAGCAGCCTCCCTCAGGGATCAGTTCTTGGGCCAGTACCATTTATCATCTGTATCAATGGCTTGGGCAAAGGGCACTGGGGAGTCACTGGGATGTTGCTGTTCAGAGGGGTCGTGACAGGCTAGAGAAATGGGCTGGCAGGAAATTCAACAAAGACAAAGGCAAAGTCCCGCACCAGGGATGGGGTAACCCCATGCACCAGTACAAGCTGGGGGCTGACCGGTTACAAAGCAGCTTTGCAGAAAAAGACTTGGGAGACCAGATGGACAAGTTGAATGTGAGCCAGCAAGACGGTAACACACCAGCAGTTTTAGAAGTGATCAGTTTGCTCTGTATGTGCAGTTGGGAGACTGCATCTGCACTACTGCGCGTAGTTTTGGACTACCCAGTACAAAGCATACATTGAAATACTAGACAAGTGCAGGAAGGGCCACCAAGATGGTTAGAGGGCTGGTGCATATGACACACAAGGAAAGGCTGAGAGAGGGTTTGCTCAGCCCTAAGAAGAGAAGGCAAAGGAGAAATCTAATTGCTGTCTATAATTACTTTATGGGAAGGTATGGAAAAGTTAAGACCCAGGTTGCTCTCAGAGGTGCACAGTAATAGGACAAAAGGCAGCAGATATAACTTGGAACATGAATAATTCTAATTATAGATGTGGAGAAAAATTTTTCAGTCAGGGTGGTCATACACTGGAAGAAGCATCCAGAGAGGCTGTGGGATCTTCATCTTCAGAGCTATTCAAAACCAGACTGGACAAGGCCCTGAGCAACTCCATCTAGCTGAACATGGAGGGTAGTAACTGTTTTTAAATAAACTGAAAAACTGAACAATTGATCAAATTCTTAACATCTTGCTGAAATGAAGAAGTTATTTTTCTTTTTGTTTTAAAGAGCGCTTTAACATTAAACCAAGTTTGGGACAACGTGCGCTTTGCCATCCTTCTTGTACCACAGCCTCTGAGAACACAGTTAGTATCCTGAAGGAAAAATTTTTTGCTGCATCATGTAAGTAAGTCTTCATTTAATCTTTCAGAACTTTAAGAAAATAGGAGGTGTGGGTTTATTTTTTCTTTTAACATAATGTTGCTTTGAGCTTTTCTTTGGTATGCCATCTGCAGATATTATTTTAATATTCAAAACTGCTGCCCTTTTCTTCCTCAGAACTTCATTTTATTCTGGATTAGGACTTTCACAATATTGAAATCAATTTTTCTCTCTCCAGTTATGCATTGAAGACTTTTGTTTTGTTGGTGAAGGCAGTAATTCGCATAGCACTGATAGAAAGCTTGCCTGTGTAG